GACATCTGGTGGCTCTAAGGACTCCTTGGTGTTCCTTGGTTTATAATTGTTGCTCTAACCTCATCTATCCTCACATGGCTGATTTGCGTTTATGCTTTCAGAAAGACTTATTAGGACACTGTTCACAGGACTAGGGCTACCATAATCCACTGTGACAGCATATTTTTAAAAATTATTTTTTTTATTTTTTTATTTTTTTGGTTTTTTCGAGACAGGGTTTCTCTGTGTAGCTTTGTGCCTTTCCTGGAACTCACTTGGCAGTCCAGGCTGGCCTCGAACTCACAGAGATCCGCCTGCCTCTGCCTCCCGAGTGCTGGGATTAAAGGCGTGTGCCACCACCACCCGGCTTAAAAAATTATTTTTATTAAAATGATATATTTATTTTTATTTTATGTGCATTGGTGTTTTGCCTGCATGTATGTTTGTGTGAGGGTGTCAGATCCCCTGTTACTGGAGTTACAGAGTTGTGAACTGCCATGTTGGTGCTGAGAATTGAAACTTGGTCTTCTGGGAGATCAGCAAGTGCTCCTAATTGCTAAGCCATCTCTCCAAGCCTGTATAGTATCATCTTAATTTAGCTAATTTAATCTCTAAAGACTTGGTTGTCAAATATAATAGTCCCCATTTATTCTGAGGATCTAATACAGGCTCTTCAATGGATCCCTGAAATTTAGATATGGTTTCTAGATCTTAGCCTCAAAAATAGTAAGTAAAGAGAAAATAAAAAGAGCTAAACAAAATAACACAGCAAAGTCAAATGAGCAGGGACAGGAATGAAGTGATTTAGTGCAAATGAGAAGCCCTTCTCTCATCAGGGAGTTGTCCCATGATGCTAATCTTTCTTCCCCCACGCCAGACCACATATCCAGCACTGTAGAGGACACAGAGTCCTCATGCTCACAGAAAAGCTCCAGGGAAACCAGGAATGTTAAGCATGCATGGTTGCTCTTTCAAAGAAGAGATGTATAACTTGTTTGTCACCCAGAAGACGGGATGTGGTTAATAGCCTGGTGACCTTTGTGTTATCGGTATGGCCAGAGGCTCCCCCAGACTCTTACAAACAGGACCAGAGGTGGATAAAAGCCTACTGACCTTTGCACTATCTGTATGACCAAGACCATACCAGGTCCTCCCCCAGGCCCTTAAGATGACACATGTAGTCTATCTATAGAGCCTATCCTTATGAAAGAAGTGGCATATTCTTTGAAAAAAGTTTTGATGCAATCATGCCTTATTGTATACATGGGATTTTGTTACACCAGGAAACATTTTTCCAAATTATACTGTACTTAAATATGCCTAAAATAAATTGCTCAGTGTCAGACTCCTGAAGTTTGAACCAACACCATCTACTTAGTTGTGTTGAAGCAGTTTTCCTACTGGCCTCATGTGGATCATTATTCTGCCATTCCTGGTGTTTGCAGAGACCCAGTCCCCCATAGGGTTATCTGAGGAATATGTAATCATAAACACAAGTCTTCAAGAAACATGTTTTTGAAAAGTAACATATTCTATGCTTTAGAATGTATTAATGAGAAAACAGATATCCAAGAATAGAGTTTGAAAAATAACATTTCTGTTTTTCTTAGAAGCAGACACCCTCTTTATTCCAGAATAATGAGTAAGACCTTGATACTCAAGGTTGTGATTCAAATACCAGCCCAGAAACTATCAAATTAAAAAGAATAATCATCTACCTACCTGTTTGTCTATGTATGTATGTGTGTATGTATGTATGTATGTATGTATATATATATGTATGTATGCATGCATGCATGTATGTATGTATGTATGCATGTATGTATGTATGTATGTATCTCTATTCTTTTGACTTCAAATTTTTATTATATTCATTTATTAGTGTGTGTGTATGTGTGTGTGTGTGTGTGTGTGTGTGTGCACGCGCACGTGCACACACATGCACACACACCTGCAAGCACATTTATGTTGGGCATGTGGAGGTCAGAAGACAATATGTGAGAATGGATTCTTTCCTTCCACTATGATCCCAGGAACTAATCTCAGGTCACCAGAATTTTTATCAAATACCTCTACTTACTGAGCCATCTCACTAATCCCCATTTTGCCCAT